AATTTCAATAAACCTGAAGTGACAGGTAAAGTTTCAGACTTTGTAATTAACCTGCACTGATTGCAATAATTTTATTATTAATTTAATAAAGAAATACAGACTTGCCACCTAACAGAAAAAAGGTTTGCATATCGTCCTACAGCCAACATTTCCCCCCATAACTTAAATGGACAGAAATAACAAATTTGGGCAGCAGGTTTACTTATAACAGTGGCCAGATAACTTGATCCAATCATGTATTGTTTTGTCCTCATAACTTGTTTAATCAGTAAGATGTCTTTTAGGAAGGTACTGAAATATTTGTGAAGAATGGGTATTATAAGTTTCAAATGATTGTGCTTGTCACACATATTGTTAGGATAAATAATGCTCAGATCACCTCTGGACTCTCTATAAAGTGAACTAATCCTGAGTCTTATTTTCCAGATGTTCAGTCATTCTTTCCTGATTGCTTTCCATTTAGAGCATCTCTTGGACCTAGACTACGTGATAGTTCAATACATTAATAATTCCTGCTCAGAGCATTGAAATAATGCAGTGTAAGAGACATTTTATCATCCTTCTCTAGTGAAATCATTTAGTTAAACCTCTGACAAAGTCTCTCCTTGCTCATCATTTCTACATGTCAGTGTGAGTGGTCAAGTAAGAAAACAAACCCAAGATTTTCTCTTGTTCTTTTGTCACTAATAGTCAAATACTAAGAATAAACATTTATTTTTCTTCCTAACATTTAAAGTATGTTCACTTCCTGCACATCTGTCTTGAATTCAGGGCAGAAGATATGTTTGTTGTTCAAAGTTGTACTGCTGTTAGCAGAACAAACTCTGCTGCAGATACATCTTCCAGTAAAATAAGCTCAAGTCCAGGGTTGGTTTTTACCAGCTGTTAGGTGAATCTTCCTGCCCTTTCTGTAATTATTTTTCCTAATTCATTCTTTTTTGAGACCTGTAATAGGCAGTGTCTTGGCCTTCCCTTTCTTTTCCCCCCTGCAGATATCAGAGTGGGACAGGTAGTTCCATCAAATTCTGCAGACTACCACTGTCTCAGAGAGAGGGGAAAAAATGACTTATTAAATGAAGAAAATGAAAAGTCATCCAGAATTCAGAGGCATAAATCTTCAAACTACTTCCAAAAGAGCCAGGGCAACCACGAGGTGCTACGTAAACTTTTACAGAAAAATAGTTAAGAGTATTGTAGCAACACAGTCCCTGGAGTGACAAACCTTGTTGAGAGAAACTTAATCAATTGGAAAAGATAACAGACAACTTCAAAAGACAAAGAACTGCGTATGCCATTTTTGAGAAGCTTTTGCTTTCAACATTTACAAGGCATGCTTAGAACTAAGACAATTTTCATGTGCCAAGGAATAATTTCCATACATGTAATAAATACTAGATTAAAATTTCACTGTGTAATAAATTTAATATTTAGGTGCACAAAATACCAAAATTGCCTTTTTTCCTGGCTGACATCTTCAGTTTAATTCTTTCCTTCTATTTTTATACACATACAGAACTTTTTACTGTTCTTACTGCACTTATTACTAGTTATAAACACAGAGGAAGATAGACTGTTTCTTTATAAGTAAGGGGACTGGGGAAGGCACTGACAAACTTTTTATCTGCACCATGGCTGCAACGTCAAACAGTTGCTATATTTCAAGTGCTGACAGACAGCTTGAACAAAGATACCTTATTTACAAGACACGGTCCCTAAATGCAGGCACAGGCTTAACGTGTAATTATATTTTAATGTATAGTGTGTTCATCATAGGTTACTCTATACAGTTAGACCAGAATCTTGTGCCCTAATCTGCGAACACTTTGCATCTCTGAAATGTTAAGAAATGCTCCTCCCCTCCCCAAAATGTTAACGTTAAACCCCAAGTCTTTTCTCTAGGAAGAAAATCTGAACTATAAAGGAAAAAGAGGTAAGAAGTGCTTGTTTGGCATTTCTCAAGTGCCATATCATGCAGCCAAATACAGCAATATTTCCAGTGGGAACATAATGCTGGATAAAGGATATTTGTGGTGTAGTGAAAATACAAAAGCAAGCAAAATGCCTGGATAAAGTGTTTTGCATAGTTGATAGATGATTGCAAAAAACCCCAGGCATCAGTAAGACCTTGCGTGAAATCAGAGAAACCACGAGTAGTACTCATTTTTGTACTAATAACAGAGAAAGGGCACTGCAGCTAAAGAGACCAAAATTTCTTACAGTTCTAGCCTTGCCTGCATAAAATAGATGGAGTTCTGTTAGGAATTAGAATCTACTAAAAAAAATCCCCACAACAAAAATTAACCAAGCAAACTTTGAAGCACTGCTAAAAAGACACACTAGAGTACAGAATAAATGTGCTCTGATTATTACAACTAATGCATCCACACTGTAAAAATATTTTAAAAGCAGACAGGTTCTGGGCATGTGTCTTACTAAACCTATTTCCAAAGCTGGAAGCAGACAAATGCAATTCTGCAAGCAGACACTTAACAACCATATAATAAAAGAAAACTATTTAAGATGTATTGCAATATACTATCTTCTATTAAATGTCACATCTGATCAGATATGCAGACCATATTCTTGCAGACAATATGTCATCTATATTTTGTATCTTAAAAAGCAAATAAAACTACACCAAAAACATCAACCAAAGAACAAAAATTTAAGACATGAAATACAACATTTCACCAGGTCTCAAGCTATTTTAAAGTCTTTATCTAAAGACAATCTGATTTAAAACTTAAAATCCTAAATTTATTAGGTGGTTTATTACCCAGCATAATTGTTTTTCTTTCTGTTCATGTAGACCTTCAAAATTTTTCAAAGGCACCAGAAAAATACAACACAGTAAGTAGCATGCAAAACAAGAAACACACTCAGCACTGAAAGTTTTTCTCTCCTTCTGGGTGCCTTTCTGAGGCCAGTAAAAAAAACCAAAAACAAAAACTTTTTTGTGATTTCCATAAACACTGCATCCTAAAAATATGCTTTATGTTTGATATAGGAAATATTTACAAGAAAGCTATAAGTTACCTGGTACTAGAAATTGTCAGGAGGAGGGTGGGGGAAAGTTTAATTTGACTGCATTCCTTATTTATGAAAAACAATTGCTTGTAATGTACTGAGACATGTGTAAATTTATATGTCAGTGTACATCAAACATGGAAAAACCTCAAGACCACTACTAAGAGGCCTACCCCTGGGCTAGGGGATAAAAAACACTGATCACATTTTTTACTGTAAACATTGTCATACAGCTTAAATATTAAAGATGCAAATACATCAACTGACTATTTTTGTTAGTGCAGGCACTCAATCATTATTTGAATTTTTGTTAATATATTTTTGTTAGTATGTTCAAATTGCAGCAGAAAATCCTAGATGTTATACCACTCAAAAATATGTAAAACCTTTATTTTTAGTAAAGAATTAACAGTATTGCATACGTAAAGGTAAAGCTGCATACTTGGGGTTTTGATTCTATAATTTCTACATGGGCTCTATGGTTAGATCACTCAGAGACCTCTTCATGGAGTGACTCATGCCAGAAATACTTCTGGGCAATATCTCTATTTTCCTTGCCCCCACCATGCAAATATTTCCTGCTCATCACCACAGTTTCTCCATGCCTATTTTATGTTCTTAAAAAAAAGGAAAAATAAAAAAATAAAGGACTTCTAGCACCAACCATTTCACAAATTCCCCCACCATAAAAAAGTTTTCTTGTGTTTGTTTAATCACTTCTGCACAGCAAGAGAATAAAAGAACTATTAAATTCCCTTTTGCAAAGACCTGGTTTTAGAAAACAGCTATTGAAAGAGGAATATACAAAATCTGCACACAGTTCTTAGATGATCATGTGTGCTTAATATCGTAATAGGATAAAGGTTAAGAATAATATTGTTTGACCCCTTCAACTACTGACATTCATGCCATGTTATTGTTAGTGTTGCATGTTAAGCAAGCAAATTTTCAATGAACTTGTGTTGGCTTTACCACAGACACAGATGTTAGGCGGACTCCTTTTTTCATAAGGTTCTCATTATTAACTGAAACCAAGTTGAATATTTGACTGAAGGAAAGGACCATATCATTGTTTTCAGATTTTGCTCTATGACTTAACTGAACTACATCTGCCAGCTTTGGAAATACCAAGTACTTCTTGGCGCCAGCACTGGCGCCTTGCTCTATGACTACCATCTTAAGTGCTTCAGCTTGAGGAAGTCTAGTAACCATCAAAACAGTTTAATAAAACCTTAAAACTGTGATTACAAGTTACTCACTAGCTGACAGAGTGCTCTCAAATTTGTTCTATTTATGAATAATTTCGCAAAATAAGCAAATCATAGTAAACTGAATGCATGGCCGTAAATATGTAGCCTAGAAAGTTCACAAGATGTTTTTATGATTTATGAAGTCTGTGTTATACTTGAAACCACATTTATTTAATAGATAGGCTGGCACTTCACAGGATAATTCAATCTGCTTCAAATCTATCCAAAGCCTTTGGGAAACATAAGGGATGCTCTGAATATAAATGCAATTCCACTTTTCACCTTTTTGCACTACTGTCTCTTATCATAAATGTGAAAAGTATTACACTCCCCTAGAAAATCTCGCTTTGTAAAAAATGCTGTTGAAGATGAAAGAACGCCACAGTTTGTGCTAACCCAAATATAGGAACTATTTTATAAAACAAATAAATTAAACACTATAATTAACTTTTCTGGATATGTCCCAAGGTTATCTGAATTAAAATAAACAACACATTCATTCTTCCTCAAAAAGACCAAAAATCAAAGTGTCTATATTATATACCACTTATACAGCTGATGCTGAAAGGGGAATATAAGTGCCAGAGCAAGCTATTTTCAGAAAAAAATAGTGTAAAAAAGGCCTCATACTAATTTATTTTATATATACAAAGATGTAAATATTTAGCATTTCCAGATAATTAATTATGTGTTCTGAGAATAATCAATAGTTATTTCACTTACCATGCTGAATGTCCTTCATGTCTAAATGAAGACTAGACATTAATATTCCAACAGCTTGAGATCTTTTGTTACTTAACAACTTGACAACCTGCCAAAAGAAATGCAAGTATTATTATATTATGCAGGATAATATACAAGATATTTTACATTACTAACAACATTTTCAAATAATAGTTCTTTGTAGTCCATATACATATCCAAAAATGAGCAAATTTATTATTCTTAAAGTTTGCTTCTGCTGTATAAACCCATTACGAGTGTATGTAACTTTATCACCTAGTTGAATTTAATTCCAAAAGGTTCCCCTAGTCTTCCTTCTTAATTAGAAAATACACTCTACTTCACACTGATGTTACCAAGCGTATGAAACACACTGTCAAATAAAAAAAATTCCAACTGTGTCTATCTTGGAATTGCTTTGGTTTCCAAAACCACACAATGATTTCCATCTTTGATGTAAGTTAAAACTGTGAGAATTTGTATTTTATTTGAATGTTTGACGTAGCAGGCGCCAATATGAATTTTATTTTAAAATGAAAATAACCACGTACACGTTGGGGTTTTCTTTGATCACTTTAAGGATTATAAAAGGTCATAAAGCTTTTTCATTTTCAAAATAGAAAAAAATAAAAAACCAAAATGAAGCCATCAAAGTGTCTTGCTTTAGGGGGTTAAAATCAGTGACTAAATAATTTAGACTTTCATACGTGTTGGTTTTGCAAGCATAAGAGCAGCATGTAATTCACAGACTATGTTACAAAGGACTCTAAGTTGTTTGAATTAAACTTGATGTAAATTTCATATCATTGTTAGGAGAAACAAGTAATGCCAGAAAAGGACTCTCTGTATCTGTAAAATGACATAATTCTAGATAAAATAATTTTCAATGCCAGGATTCAAACATTGCATAGAAGAAAGAGGTTAATATTTACTCTACATAGGTTGCTGAGTTTTACACTGTACTAATCACACTGATGAAAACCTTTGTGAGTCACTTGGAGGAAAAAAAGACAGATAATTAAAACTGTTAGTTCATGTCAGGAAGCATATACATATTCTTAAAGTTGCAGTGCTACTGTTGTAGCACCAGGAGGCTGTATCATCTACAGGCCACACTGGCAAAACTATTTAAAAATTAATTAGCAGAAAGGAGATTAGAAAAAGTAGAATTACGTTAGCCAGAGTAAAGAATTTAATGATCCAATTCACATCTTAAAAGCTCAAAAATGTACTCAGAAGATGTTTGCCCTGTGATTCACTGATTCATTGCCAAATTTGATTCACTGATATTTTCAGATACAGGTCTGTACACTGACGTTTGAACAGCAGAAGCGAAGGAAAAACCTGACCCTGAACTCTGCCATTGGAACTACTTCGGAAAGGAAACTTGAGAAACTCACTGTACTTACAGTGTAGGTTTTCTGAGGATGTGGTTGGCTGGCCAACTGTTTAATTTTATTTTTTCCCTTCTTAAATCTTCATAACCATTGATTATAAAGATATTTTATCCCACTTTTCTCACAGATGCCAAACTAGCTGCAGTGGAGTGAAAATACAGCTGTAGAAGCCCTGAAGATAAGGGACTAATGTCTGTGTCTCAAACATGAACAGCCAGATCACTGTGCTGCCAACCGAGGACCCTTGGTAATAACATGCTGTGAGAAGTAACAGGATGTGGCTGAAGAAGGGGGCCTTACAGGGGCAGGGCAGCAATTTTTTGTGGGACAGAAATCCTTGTTCTAGCTCCTGGAGATAAGCACAGCATGGTACAGTGCACGTGCAGGAATGAGGTCAGGAAAAAGGATTGCTGACCAAAAGCCAACCCAGTAGAGGGGGATCAAGACACCAGAGAACCCCCAAAGCCCTCCAACCCAATTCCAGAAAGGTCTAGAGGAATGAACTGTGCAGGATAACTGGTTTGCATAGAAAGCAAGAAACTTATCTCCAGGGCAGGGAAATCTTATCTATAGTAAGTACCCCCATGAAGCTCAGGTATACATGCTCCAGGACTCTGGACATCCCATTAGTTGGATCGACACTGGGGCAAGGACGGGTGATCTTTCTCCCTCCCTCTCTCTAGTTTGTCTCACTCACTCTACCTCTTTATTCAAAGCCCACCACTGTGTGCTTATACTGGAATATAAGGGAATAGCATATCAATTTCCGTGACTAGTGTATAATTTGGTAATAAAACTCTGTAAGCTTCTACAGACCTTTTGACTTTTGTCATTCCTTTTTCACCATGAGCATCTGCAAACTTGTGTGTTCCTTTCCCTTTTGGGGTGGGATGTCTCAACAGCAAAAATACTGCTCATTAACAGAAAATTTTAACATTGGAAAACAAGTATATCATAACTGATGTTCACAAGGTTAAAGATCTAAATTCAAGGCATGGCTACTCACATCACCTATCAAAAATTACCAAGAAATTCCTGTGTAACTTTTTAATCCATTTAATATACTATTTGGAATTTAAAACTAGGATACGATGGTCAGATTTCTTTGGAATTCAAATGTAAAACTAATGTAATTCAGAAAAATACAATTAGGATAACCTGCAGTAGTCTTCTAATAGGCTATAATCAGTCTAAGTATTTTTTAATGGAACAAAATTTAATTCAAGCCTGGAACTGAGTTAAAGCTGTGTCAATATGAGATTTTCTTCTTGTAAAGAGAAGCTGTTATTGATTTATTTTTTTGCAGCTACAAAAGGATTACAAAATAAAGTAGATCTTGGGTAGCAAGGTATAGATCAAATCTTTTTATCAATTAAGTTCCAATTTGTAATAGAACCAAACAAGTATTTTCCATTCTATCAAAAAAAAAAAAAAAAAATAGTGTGTACAAAATTTCAAATTAACAGAATTTCTTCAACTGATGTTGCTACCAAAACATACTTGCAGGAAAGGCAACAATATAGTATGTTACATGAAAAAAGTTCAAAAACTTCCCCTAAAGTTGTGTATTCCAAAAACATTGAAAAGACTGAATTTGGTAATGAAGATGTTGGGGGAACTGTTGCTTTCAGTTCCTATTGTTATCACTTAACTCCAAAATATCTTGTATTAATAGTATAACTAACTTGCTGGTGCCAGCATATAGTGGGAGTCCTTTGTTGCCTCTATTTTGAACTAGAAAACTATCCCAAAGCCGACAAATAAAGTGAATTAAAAATCAAATGCAAACTAATCTCAAAAGTGCTGTCAGGAAACAATAGTCACACAAAATGGCAAGAGCTCATCAGAAGTAAGCTAGTACGTTTGCTGTCCCTCACATTCTGCAAAAATGGAGTAGAAATGGAATTGATGGATACTAACATAGGATACTGTGTTATTAAGGAGTAAAACAAAACAAAAGAAGAAAATCAAGAATAAAATAGCTTATGGGTTGGAGTCTGATCTTGGGACTATCCCACATCTAATTCTTCACCCATGTGCTATTATATTTTCTTCAAATTGTGAAATCAGAGTTTCTATCTTCCATCAGAATTCTAGAGCTCAGAGTTACTAAGATCAGGCTTACAAATACAACAAGAGGATCAACACTAGGGAAAAAATAAGCAAATAAATTAAGTATGCTGTCATGCAGGCTAGAACATGATTCCTGTCCAGGGCGCAGGACCAGACTTAGAGACCTACTAGATCCTTTGAAGTCCTGGCATAAAAGTCAGCAGGAAAAAGAAGCTGCTTTTTCTGAAAGTGAGATAATTAGTTGCTGAGTGCCACATCTTGACAGTGATTAGAAGCAAAACAAAACAAACAAAAAAAAACCACTGTCCACATGAAGAATAAGTTATCTTTGCTGCCAAAATTCTGAACGATGATGATATCAAAAGGGTGACAAAGAGCATGACTGTCAGGTGAATGGGTGCAGAACAGCAATAGATAAAGCAGTTTCACATAGCAGCTACCAACTTTCCCTGGTTTTATTTAAAATGTAGGGTTTATGTCAACTTTTATACTAATCTCTATTATGCTGTTCATTCCCATTTCAGTCAATTGCATGAATACTAGAGTTTCCTCCAATAGAATGGATGTAACAATACAACACTAATTCAGAAAATATGAATATTAGCATAAATGCCTAAAGCAATTCCCACATTTAAAAGTAAAACAATAAAATAAATCAGCTGCATAGTCTAGGCCTACAGGCTACAGACAAGTGACGCCATTTAAAGGCAGAACAACAAAAGTTCGATAAATCCAATCTCTGCAAGATCTAAAGCCTCAGACACAATACACAGCTCCTTTTTAGTCTGGATTCTGGAACTCTGTTTTAAACAAATTTTAAAAAAAATAAATAAAAAGGAAGCTAGAGATATTATCTGCAGCCTGAAGTCTAGGACAAACTTTCTAATTCTTGAGTGGTCCTCATTGTTGAGCATTAACAAACTACACGTCAAATTTGTTCCTGATTCTTTAACACAAGCAAAAACAGTCAAAGAGATATATAGTGAAAGGTAATGCAAGACAGATGTTTGATAAGAACCCCAAAGCAAAAATTATGATGATTCCTTTTCCCCAGAATAATATTTAGTTAATGCATGGAATTTTTCAATGATTCTTGCTTTCTATTTCTGATTTTGAGCATTTAGAAAAATTATCCCAAAGTTCTCACTGGTTAAGAAAAACTGCTGTACATAACACAAAGTCACACCTAGGAAACCCCACTTTACCAAGACCTATCACTCATACATGTGGCAGGGAAGAGGCAGAAACAATAAAGTTCCAAATCAAACGTTAAGGGACAGGATCAGGGCAGTAATGCAGTCACCTTCTCACCAGGCAACATGACAACAAGTCTTTTCTGCAGATTCAAGTATTCCAAGTGTAAAATGGGCAATCACAGAAGTGGACCCATCATATCTTTCCCATGTATATCCTTCTTATAGGTATAACAGAATAATATACTCTTACAGGTGGGGGATTTTTATGTGTGTTGTGCATTTTAGTTCATCTTTTGTTTGCCTTATTTTAAAGGTAAATTCAGAAGTAAATTCTGGCTAGTAATGGCAACTGTGAGAGTGGAAACAGGGACTATTTCAAGTAGTGTGGTCACTTTGGTGTAATAGGAGATCAAAAATTTTCC